TGGTCTTCGAAAGTTGGTCTTCAAAAGTGGTCTTCAAAAGTTGGTCTTCAAAAAATAAGCTGTGTTTTCAACCGATAAACCGGTGATCTTCAAAAACAATGTTGTTATTTTAATGAAATGAATATGATCCTCAAAATATCATATCGTGAAGTGCAAAAGTTGATTTTTGGCGGACATGGGACACCATAATAAACTAATAAATATAAAACATAATAAGTTACAAATAAAACAAATTCTTAGGTAATTTCAGTTCAGTCTTCAAATCAATTTGTTCTCCTTTACATTTTAAGATTTTTCCTCAAAGTAAACGATAATTTATGAAACTTAGAGCTTCGTTGAAAAGGAAAACAGTTCATGTTTTTAGGCAAAAAGTTAATTAAAGAAACAAAATTCGTAAACATTAAATATTCAAAGGAAACTTGCCGTATACTTCACGATTTCCCATAGTAAATCTATTCTTCTCATCTCTTCAAACAAAATTGCTTCAATTAAGCTTGTTGTATATAAAACGATTTTCCAAATATATGTCTTTTAAAATTGAAATCTTGCTCATCCCACTCCTACACGCAATCAGCCATATTTTAGAGATCAGTGAGGATGACCACCCACTCACCATCGTTGGTGACCGACGCCCGCGATATTTGATGAACTTTAGACTTTGCTAATGCTTTCGTTTCCCCGGGTGTAAATAGCCGGGGGGAATTAGTACCCTCGCACGGCGCTTCGCGCCGTCGGCTCGGGGATTAATGTATTTTCAATTCCCAACGGTGGAAGAATGTGATTTCGACCGACAATTTTTATTTGACAAATATGTGGCCATTTCTTCAGTATCGTTATGGTTTAAGAAATGTATCATAAAAAAGCTAAATATTTTTTCATCCGATGTAAAAATTGAATTGTTTAGCTAAGTTTATAATGCACGACAGCAAGTTGAATTTCCATAGCTGTTTTTTTGAGACACCCTGTACAATCTAGAGAGTCTTAAAGTCATCCAAATTAACTAGTGTATATTGCTTAGATAGCAACACAACTGAGCTCTGTAACCAAATTATAATGTATCACTACTTTCATTCTTCAACAATTAGATGACTTCACGGTTTAAGATGACAAATAACGCGGAAATCGGTTTTAAGAAAAAGTACGTCGTTTTCGAAAATAACCAGGCTATAAAGTAGACCAGGTTGATGAAAAATAACTTGAAAGCTTAGAGTGGAGGAAGGAGAGCAGAATGGATATTTCAAGTACTAAACCGTAACCGGCGGTAAACCTCGTGGCTCTGTCTTAACAATTTTGAATTGATACTGATTTCAAATGATTAAAGCCATGTAATAATTATCCCATGCAACTGTTAGGAAGGGTGAAATTTTGAACGGAGGACGAAAATCCTAAAGAAAAGGTGAAGTTTCTAAAGGGGGGGGCGAATTTCCTAAAGGGGGGCGAAATTCCTAGGATTTTCGCCCTCCTGGGGGGCGATATTCCTAGGAATTTCGCCCCCGGGGGGCGAAAATGTAGGGGGGGGGGGGCGAAAATCCTGGGACACCGGCGGCCGCCGGCTTATTTTGAAAGCCCTGCATATGAGTCGCCAGTAATACCTCTTGCAGCTCGGTTTTGGAGTTTCTGTAGCTTTCCTCTTAAAGATTCACCACTGTTACCCCAAATCATCGAGCAGTCAATCAAAGTGTGGTTGGACTAAAGCTCGATAAAGATGTTTAATTAAGAGTTCCGAAACGTATGGCTTCACACGACGCAACATGCAAATGCCCTTCAAAGGTTTTTTACAGATGTTATCAATCTTCTTAGTTCTTATCCCTGCGCTTATCCCAGCACAGACGTTTGTTCTACTTCGAGAACTCAGTTCTGATTTTAAGAATGAGTTTTTGGACATGCACGAAACACTATAATTTGAAAAATATCGCTTTTATGCTGGTCTTTCGCAGCTTATTTACATCTCGTCTTTGCGTGTATTTTTGTCACTCTGAATACGTCCACATAATAAACAGAACATTAAACGGTTGCGAGAATTTGATATGGATTTATGTTCTCGTGTCCACTCAACATAAAAGCCATGTCTAATATTGACTCTCATACATGTTGCATGTTCACTGCTTCTCAAACTCAGACTCAGAGGCACTGAGGCAGTGCACCCAGCATTCTCAAATTGGGGATAATTTGCAAATTTAAAATGTCTCTGATTCTACTAAAACAATTAGTAAGATTACTCGCCCTCGATTTCCATGAGGTGATAGAGTTAATTATGGCCACGCCCTCTTCAACTATCACCTCATAAAAATCTTGAGCTCGTAATCTAATTGTTAAATATAGCTTTTTTTCTCCTTTGCCCACCGTCTGTCGTTTGACATATGAACCGCAAAGCTGAAGCTCTCTATTAAAAATGTGTGCATATACAGTAGGCATACGGGGCAGATGCGTTCCGGGTGAGGGCAGTTGAAAGTTCGTCCGAATTTTTATGGACGATTGTAATGAAATAACCTGAATTTAACATATTGGCTGATAAATCTGTCCGAATTTTCTTGATTTTCTTTAGTATTCACCCGAATTTCCCGCATGGTTTTCCAATTTTATTTTGTTGGGTGGGGCAGTTGCCCCCTGGCCCCTGTCACGTACGCCTAAGTGTGTGCATGAAGGATTGAAAGTAACATTTTGAAATATTATATAATCCACTGAGGGCTGTCTTATTGAAACACGAGGAAATTGAACATATCGAAATGTTACTTTCACTCCTTCATGCACACACATAGGCGTACGTTTCATGGTATTCAAATGAAATCAAAGCGATGAAAAGGCGCAGAAGAAAAGCTGAAAAACTATGGAGGAGAACGAAGAGACAATCTGACTTAATGTACTTTAAATCTATCAAGAACAAAGTCAATCACCTGATGAAGAAAGCATAGTGTGATTTTTACACAAATCTTGTTAATGAAAACTCTCATGACCAAAGGAAACTATACGCAGTAGCCAAACATCTATTAATTCTTAAAAAGGATCTATGTTTTCTTGACCATCATGATATGAATTCTCTCGTAAATGAACTAGGTGAAAGTTGAAACTATTATGGTGAATATGGTGAATATGTTAAATTCATTAGTTTTCACATACCCGCTCCTACTTTTATCAACCACACATGTCATTTATTGTGAATACAAAACATTGTTTTTTATTGCCAGTATTTATGGGCAGTATAAACACTTCAACTGAATTTTACTCTCAAATTAAAAAAAAGCTCAAAAATGATATTATTAATATTACAGTTAGAAAAGTATTGATCACTAATTATCAATATCTAATGGATCGAATTTCTATATGTAATTTATAATAGAATTAACCAGGAGCAGTTGTAAAAATGCAAATATCGGCCAGGACAGGCAGGATCGAATCAAACCACTAAGCACTGGCAAATCCTTAGTTGTATCGAGTGAGATGCCCAAATTCCTCCTAGTGTTTCATTGCCATTGGGACCAGATCGCAAGGTTTTATAAGCCAATAAGGGCCGGATCAACTGTAGTTTGGTGACCATGGCTACCTCATTAATATAGACATAAATATGTGAGTGTAAACATGTCGGTCAAACCAAAGACCAATAAATGAATAATTTTCAATCAAAATTTTCAGCATTGAGCTTTTGATTAAATATAGATTATTATTACATATATTACATATATACCATGTAATATATATTCTTAATGTTATCTCATTGAACAAGAGCATACATATATATCACATGTGAAAGTCATGAAAATTTCAACAGCTCTAAGGCTAAGTGGTGAATTATACTTTTATCCACCAGTGAATAATGAAATTGTTTTTAATAATTATGAAGTACAAATTCATATGAATAGCCTTCTAATTGTTCATTTTCTTTTTCGTTTTGTTTCCTTTGACACTCTGTGTATAATAAAACACTTATTGACTGGGACCAACCGTTCCTTAGCACTAACAATGCAGTTGCATATGAATTTGACCCCGAGTTTGACAATGAAATCGAATGTGTGACACATTAATACCCTAGCGCTTTATTAGCAGGGCCAGCTGTTTCCTTGGTCGCGTGACTTCCTATAATACTCATCTCTCAAAGGTGTACGTTACTACACGTCGTTCAACACGCCAAATATACAGCTTATTTCTCACCGAAATTATACATACAATTTACTTGTACGCGCCACCATTTTGTCATAAATTGAAAACATAATTCAAGATATATATGACATCTTATCAAGTATATTCAAGTTCAAGAGCGTATTAGCTAGGCTTATAAGACTTCACAGCGTCCCTAATTCATTTACACACACATATTATGTAGTACGTATTATAAAATAACTACGTTTGAATATATCCTAATACAATAACACGGCGTCAATAGCATAACTGGGGTGTTATTCTAGACTTAATAGCTACTATTTCGACTTGCATACATTCACAACACGAAGTTAAAACTTCCGGCGTACTTGTTCATAAAAGGTAGGCATCTTTTATCAGTAAATATATATAGATCTCTTTACTACGATAACAGACTTAAAGTGCAATTATAGACGCCAGACGATATATTTGTCCAGTGCGAATATTTCTATTAGCAAATGAGGCATCTTGCTGTTACAAAAACATCTAGCACGAGCCATCATTTGTTTACAAAGAGATATATTGTTTCAAACTGTGAGTGGACCGACCTTCAACGCATGACGAATTCATAACCGAAAACTTGTCAAATTAGAATCAAATCATAAACCTTCTTATTTGCTCTACTTCGCAAACTATAGAATGTTGTCGACCTCAAAAAACACAGTTTAAAGACTGTTCAAATACTTAAGATTCTATCCCAAAAACCGAGTAAACATTGAACCCAGATGGGAAACATTATATTAAACCTCCACACTAAAGCACGTTCTCATTGTTTACAATGTCTATGACAAATATATGAGCAAAATTCGATCTTGCCCCCTATTTGTTTTAAAGATAAAATGTATTAATATACCATTAGATCTCTTACCTCATCGAAAGATCTGCTAACTTTATGGTCTAACTCCACATACTATTATTCGAATGGAATCCATGTCATCATTGTCATGAAAATATTAAATGATTGTACTTTAAATTCACCGCTTTGTTCTCGTTTCCTCGGGAAGTCTGTTTACATATTATATTCATATAGCTTTGTAACCACGTCGCGTTCTTTTTCGGGGGGAGGTGGGAGGTGAATTTATACAGTACGACAAACGTTCACCTTTACGTCGTATAAAAAATGCTTTTCGTGTTGAAAATTAAAAATTTGTATAATAAGTTTTAATATTACCCCTTACCCAGTATAAAAGACCCTTGTAATGTCTTGTAAATGACGTCAACGTCTCGAAATGACGTCATGGAAACAAGGCCTCTTTATAGTACAAGTCACTGCCTAGAGCTGGATAGGCTCTGCTTCCGTAGCATGTTCCGGGCAGAAGATGAGGTAAAGAGGATTGTTTGAGATACCCTAATTACACATATCCTTCTAAAAGTTCTTCAGGGCGTTCAATTCAATTCCACAAAAGGTAACAGACGCAATACTTATATATTCAGTTAATTAATCGCTTTAATCAGAAGCCTAGCCTAAGGGACCATTCATCATTTATGACTGGGGGTGGGCAGGCAAAAAAAAGGGGGAAGGTATTTTTTACCGAAAAAGGGGAGCCACCTAAAAATATTGGTTCAGAAGGGGGGTCCAGATATTTATATAGTGATATTAGAGTGGAGAAAAATTTGACATGTAACGATTATTGCTACCACAGGGAGCGAGCAAGGCAGGAAATTTAATTCATGTATAGCTAGCAAAATTCTCAATTTCAACAGATAGACCCAAAATAGAATGCACAAATACCCAAAATGCAATGCGCGCAGCTAATATGAAAAATAATCGAACATCTACCTTATAACTTTTGCCATGAACTTGCCATAAATTTTTGTCATATTTCAATTATGTACATTTTAATAAAAAAGATAATTAACGAGTAAGCGATGAAGCAGCCCCCAATAATTTGCTAATAATATTCTTTTTCCAAAATCATGCAGACCTTTATCATTTAAATAATATACCTTTAAAATACTGACAATTGATTAATTTTGAGCAGCTACATTATCCATGACTAACATGCAAAGAATGAAGATATTTCTCATACTTTCCTGCAACTTATCCAATATATTGTCGAGAATTATTGACATTATTTATTTATTTGTAATCGGGAAATCCTCGGAATATTCCGAGTATAGGATAGAACGAGAACTAAGCGAGACTGTGTTCAAAAACAAGCATGCGAGAACTGTAACTTTATAGCAATTTAAATATAAAATCATCAAAACTAATGTGTGAAGAGGTTGTTGTGTGAGCTATTCGCAACAAAAGTGGCGACCCCGAGCAGGATCACTTTAAAGCAGAGTTATTTGCGAAAAACAAGCGAAAATATCAAACACGGAATACGAATACGCGAGTATTTATAAAACATGGATTTGGCGACATCGGAGAAAAAACTACAAGGTAAACTCAAACTACTTAAATTACTGAACGAAAGTACTAAAACTAAAGTGGAACAACGTGATTTAGAAACTATCGAGAGACATGCAAACGTGATTCAGAATAAATTGAGCGAAATACAAGACCTAAAGTTAAGCATTCAAGAACTAAAATTTGAAGAGGGCGAAGATGAGACCGATATACGTAACTGGAGTGCAGAAGTCGATGAGAATTTAAAAGAATATCAGGGGATTGGTGCCGAATTGAAACAAATTGTAAATGAAATGAAGCAAGAAGTAGCAGAAAAAAAGGACAAAGCTGAACAAGAACGAAGGATTAATTTGGAAAAAGAAATAGAGAAAATCAAGTTCGAAGAAAAATTGAACTATGAAAAAAAGTTGGAAGATCTGCATTCAAAGGGCCCCCTAAACCCAACCCAAGGGGCATCAAAGGTAAGGTTACCAAAACTTATAATAACTAAATTTAACGGAACCTTCACTGATTGGATGCGATTTTGGAACCAGTATGAAGCCAAAATTGACAATTCTGACGTAAGCCCTGTCACCAAGTTCGCATATCTGAAAGAGTTAGTGATACCATCTGTGCGTGCGAACGTTGATGCTTTACCCCTAACAAGTGAAGGTTATGAGAGAGCAAAACAAATCCTGAAATCTAAATATGGCAAACCAAGTGAGGTTGTGAATGCTTATGTACAGAATATCATGTCCCTTCCCCATATCTGTGGTACAAATCCGAACAAAACTCATGATTTTTATGCAAAGTTATCTTCAAGTGTACAGTCGTTGGAGGCGCTGGGGAAATTAAAAGCAGTTTCTGGCTATACCCGACTTACATTAGACAAACTTGAGGGAATCCGAGCAGACCTAGTGAGAACAGACGACGACTGGAAAGATTGGGGGTTTACACAGTTACTGGAACAATTGAAGAAGTGGACGGAGAGAAATCCAGTGGAGAACAAAGGTGATCAAGACACAGCACGGCGTGGAAATCGAGACAACTTCTTCGGTGCCCAAGGACACGAAGTTAAACCAAAAGCCTGTCCCTACTGTGAAGCAACCAACCACAGATCAACTGCGTGTGCCAAGGTGACTGAAGTAGCTGATCGAAAGAGAATCCTAGTTAAGAAAGCATTGTGTTTCAACTGTACCGGATCAAAGCACAAAGCGTCAGCCTGTCGTAAGCCAAAATTCATGTCAGAAATGTGGACGACGTCATCACACATCAATATGTGATTCCAGTGGCAAGTTACCCGGTGCGGGAAAGAAAGAAGGCGAGCCAATTCTCGTAGCAACAGGGACTGGGAAAGTTGTGTACCCAGTTGTGGTAGTTCGAGTCAATGGCATCAAATGTCGGGCCCTACTTGACACAGGGGCTGGCAGCTCTTACGCATCATCTGTGTTGCTGCAAAAGATCAACAGCAGACCTGTTAGAAGGGAGAACGAGCAAATCGAAATGATGATGGAGACCTGCAACAAAAGAATTGAAATCCACAAAGTAACCATCAGTAGTTTAGAAAATGATTTCAAGATTAACACTGAAGTAACAAATGTTGATCGAGACAAGTTGTTGACACTGGAAAACCCACAATATCAAGGAAAGATCAACCAATACCCTCATTTACAAGGGGTTTCAATGAATGATGATGATACAAAGCCAGAGCTACCCGTCCATATCATCTTGGGAGCAAGTGAACATGCACAGATTAAGACCGAGACAAAACCAAGAGTTGGCCATCCAGGTGAACCAGTCGCTGAACAGACACGGTTTGGTTGGACAATGATGTCCCCCGGTAAAGAAATTGATCTTGGAAACGTTCTTCTCACCCAGACCTCGAGTGTGGACTATGAAAACCTTTGTCGACTTGATGTTTTGGGTCTAAAAGATACATCACCAGGAAGTCAAGAAAACGTCTATGAGGAATTCCAAGAACAACTTACGAGAAGCCATGAAGGATGGTACCAAACTGGACTTCCTTGGAAAGCTAGCCATCCTCCCCTACAAAACAATGAAGTTGGAAGCTTGAAACGACTGAACAGTCTTACCAAACGATTAGAGACGAATCCCGAGTTACTAGAGAAATATGATAACATAATTAAGGAACAGTTGGAGTACGGTGTTGTAGAAAGAGTAACAGAAAGTGCACAAGCGAAGGAGTTCTATTTACCACATAAACCTGTTGTTCGTGAGTCAGCTGAAAGCTCGAAAGTCCGTATAGTATTTGATGCAAGTGCCCGAGAAAACGAAAGTTCACCATCACTTAACGAATGTCTAGAAACTGCCCCACCTTTACAAAACATGTTGTGGAACGTACTGGTTAGAAACAGTTTCTATCCCGTGGCAATTACAGGCGACCTTATGAAAGCATTCCTTCAAGTCCGAATCAAAGAATGTGAGCGAGACGCCATGCGATTTCATTGGTACAAAGATCTCCAGACAAGAGTAATTGAAGTGCTCAGATTTACCCGTGCTCTTTTCGGACTAGCTCCATCACCATTCCTTTTGGAGGGAGTTATTAAACAACACCTAAAAAACTGTCGCGAAGTTCCACTGCACAAGTGGCATTCCAATGAAGCTTCACTCGAAACGGAGAACGAGCCGTCGGAGCCAATAAGAGAGGAGCAGAGCTATGCAAAATCACAACACGGAGTGAAAGCAGGAGAGATGAAGTTGCTTGGTTTACCGTGGAACAAAGCAGATGACAAGATTGCGGTTCAGTTTCAAAAGAGCGAAGTTTCAACGCCAACAAAGCGTGAAGTGTTAAGTAACATTGCAAAGATATACGATCCTCTCGGTGTGGTATCCCCAACGTCTCTGATCGGCAAGCTGTTATACAGAGAAATATGCGACCGGAAAAAGCCATGGGATAAGGAACTTCCTCCAGATCTAGTTGCGAAATGGGTCTTATGGCAGAACGTGTTACCTGACAAAGTCGAGTTCCCGAGAAGCTTGGTTAACCATCAAGAACAGATTAGTGATCGAGGAGGCAGTGTAAACGAATCAACGCAGCTGTGGCTAAAGGGTCCAGAGTGGCTGTCCAAAGAAGAAAGTTGGCCTAGCGACATTACCACCACCCTAACAGATGAATCATGTACCGAGTTGAAGCCAATCAAAGAAATCCTAGCAGTTGCTGTAGTAGAGGACAATTTATTCGATAAGCTTTTGGAAAAACACGAACTGTGGAAAACAATCAGAATCATGGCTTGGGTACGTCGATTCATTTACAATGTTAAACGGTGCAATAGGAAGAAGAAAATATCTGGTGCCATCACTACGGAAGAAACAGAAACAATACTGAACTTTTGGATCCTGAAAACTCAAAACGAAGGGCAGAACAGTCCAAAATTCAAAGAAGACCGCGCAAGACTAAACCTACAAGAGAACAACGAAGGCGTACTTGAATGTCGCGGCAGAATTCAAGGTGATTTCCCTATATACTTACCCGATGCAAGTCTATTCAGTGAGAAACTCGTAGCAGAAACTCACAAGAAAACGTTGCATGGGGGAGTCGGTTACACTATGGCAAAGATACGGGACAAGTATTGGATACCGCGGTTGAGAAGGCTTGTGAAGAAAGTGATCCATGCATGTAACGGGTGCAAACGATTTCAAGTCAAACCATTACCTAACCCACCTGTCGGAAACCTGCCGAAAGACAGAACCATGGGAGAAATACCGTTCCAGACGATTGGTGTAGACTATGCTGGTCCGATCAAATACCGACATAAGAAATCCGAAAAAAAAGCTTACATATTGTTGTATTCCTGCAATTTGACTAGAGCTGTGTATCTGGACTTGCTACCCGATCTCACCGCAGAAGAGTTCATTCGAAGTTTTAAACGCCTAGTAGCCAGAAGAGGACGACCGAGAAAGGTATATTCAGATAATGGAAAACATTCGTAGCAGCTTCGAAATGGGTCAAGAATGTGATGAAGGATGAAGAATTGCAAAATTGGCTCGCGCGTAATGAAATCAAGTGGCAGTTCAACCTAAGCCGCGCCCCTTGGTGGGGCGGCCATTTTGAACGAATGGTCGGTCTCGTCAAACAAGCCTTTTACAGGACGATTGGACATGGGAATCTCAAGTGGAACGAGCTGGAGGAGATAATCATCGATGTTGAAACCACCTTAAACTCTCGACCGTTATGCTACTGTAATATATCACGACACGCAAGCAGTATAAACAAATCACTTTATTAAATCCTATTCTAGTTCCCTGCACTCAATGCACTATATTCTTGTCCTGTATATTGTCTAGCAATCCCGTTTGTTATTGTCATCCGATATCCTTTCTTGACCCTTGCACGCGACCTTTATTAATAATTAGACACCTTCGTATACTACATTACCCTCCCCTTAAGTGAGAGCGTCCTCGATCTCAAGCTCATCTAAATTAAAGTCCTGGTAACGATCAGGTGGTCGGCGCTGACGGGTAGATCTCCTTAGAGGTACCATGTTCGTTGCTTCAACTTCCTTGTGAACTATCGGTGATTCAGCAACTCTCTGCTCTTGGGATTTCTCGCTCTTGGTCGACAATGGAGATGGCATGTCTTGCTCGTTAATGTCATCCGTCTGATTCTGTACCAGCTTGAGTCGATTGCGGTGCACACACGAGCTCCTTCCTTTTCCCGATTTTGGACGAATCACATAGTTTAAACGTCCTTGACAACAGAGTATGACGTACGGACCAATCCACGGTTTGTGGAACTTTCTACTGCGTCCTTTCGGTATGACAGTGCTATGTAACCATACAATGTCTTCGGGTCTCAGAATTTCTGTCTGATGAGCAGTGTTACGTGCATCATAATTTTGCTTTTGCTGGGTCTGTGCTTTCTTGATTTCCTCAGCAACCGTCGCGTGGACCTCTTTCAGCGCAAACTCAACACAGTAGTCGGCAATCAACCGGGTCTTGGGCTTCTCCGTGCTGCCCAGTAACACGAGTGGCATAGTAGCATCTCTCCCATAAACTGCTTTAAATGGAGATACGCGTGTCGAGGAATGGACACTTGTTCGATATGCGAATTATAAAGCCAAGGGTAAATGTAAATCCCAGTCGTTGTGATGACCATTTACGTAGGACGAGATTATTGCTTTCAGTGTACGGTTGAACCGCTCCACTTGGCCGTCAGTCTGTGGGTGATATGGTGATGTCCGCAACTTGTGAACGCCCAACAGCTTGAATACTTCTTTCATGAGCTCCGGCCGACTCAAAGTTTCTACCTTGGTCAGTGAGGAGTTTCACAGGAACGCCATGTCGAGACACTACGTTGTCAATAAACGCACGAGCTACCGTCTCTGCTTTCTGATCAGCCATTGGGACTGCTTCGACCCATTTAGTGAAGTGGTCACTCATCACTAAAACATATTGGTGCTCTCGTGCTGTTGTTGGAAGGGGTCCTAAGATGTCCATTAATGCCCACAACTCCATTGGTTGAGATACTCGGATGTTCTCCATGGGGGAACGGTGGGATGCTGACGACGATTTTCTTTGGTTGCACACGTCACACTCTGCAACCCACAGATGCACCTCGCTGGTCATTCCAGGCCAGTAATACCACGGCTGCAAACGTTCGACGCAGCGATTAACACCCATGTGCCCAGAACTAGGATCATTATGAGAGAGCCGCAACAGATCCGCACGCATTTTCCGAGGAACTACGAGGACGAGACCATCTTTCCAACCACTTGTTGATACGCGTCGATGCAAAACACCGTCAATTATTTCCAGTTGTTTCCAAACTTGCCCATCGTGCTGTGCCTGACAAATCTCTTCCCGGGACCATTCGGTTTCAATAAGGGTGGGTCTAACCCAGATGACGATCTCCTCATCCGGTAAATGAGGATGATTGACGACTGTAGTTGGAAGAGGAGACCGTGAAAGTGCATCTGCATTACTGTTCTCACGACCCGGGCGGTGTACGATGGCAAAGTCATATTCTTGAAGGGTTAAGATCCAACGTGCTAAGCGACCTTTGGGTTCTTTTAGTCCCTGAAGCCAAGTTAAACTTTGATGGTCGGTAACCAATTGAAACGCCTTTCCCAGTAGGTAGGGACGCCAGTAGTGAATGGCCCACACAATGGCCAGACACTCTTTCTCAGTTGTTGAATAGTTCTCCGCTGATGTCAATGACCGACTAGCATAGCAAACGACATATTCGCTGGAACCAACACGTTGCGACAACACTGTTCCAAGACCAGAATCGCTAGCATCAGTGTAAACAGTGAAAGGAATCATAAAATTGGGCAAGGCAAGGAGCGGCGATATCCGCAAAATTACGGACATACCTGCGGTAGTAGGAGGCCATTCCCACAAATGCTCTGACATCCGACAACGAAGACGGTGTGGAAAATCTTGTACGGCTTGGACTTTCTCTGGGTTCGGATGGATTCCCCTTGCGGATACAATATGTCCCAAAAACTGAACCGATTCACGTCCGAACTGACATTTCGTTCCCTTGAGCTTCAAGCCAGCTGCTTTGATTCGATGCAAAACCTCTTCCAAAATTTTCTGGTGTTCCTCCCAGGTGTCAGCAAAGATAATGATATCATCGATAAATACCAGACAGCCGCTCATCCCATGGAGAAGTTTCGTCATCATTCGCTGAAAGGTGGCTGGGGCGTTTGTCAAGCCGAAGAGCATAACAGTAAACTCGTAATGATTTGAGCCAACTGTGAACGCGGTTTTAGGAATATCCTCTTCTCTCAGAGGGACCTGCCAGTAGCCTGAAGCCAAATCTAACGTGCTAAAGAAGCGTGCTCCACCGAGTTTGTCAAGGATCTCATCTATTCGCGGCATTGGAAACGCATCCTTCCTGGTAACTGCGTTTAAACGGGGGCCATTACAATTGGAGAGGACCACGGGCTGTACGTCGCTTGGCCTAATGAGACCTCGAGCAAGCATTTCATCAACTTGATTATTCACCACTTTGTTTAAATGGACAGATATTCTGTATGGTCGTTGTTTGACTGGTCGACTGTCCCCAGTGTCAATAGAATGTTCAGCATCATTAGTCCGTCCCAAAGGATCATCCGGTCCATTTACAAACACGTCTGCATATTTCTCCAGCAGAACCGATAATTTGTTGATAGTTGGCGCAGCTGCTTCAATAAGCAGTCGCGTCTCCCCCGAGTCCCATGACAAAAGTTCCTGTGCAATGTTAACAACCATTCCGTTCGCTTTCAAGAATTCGGCGCCGAAGATACACTGGTTCTGCATATTTACTACCACAAAAGTGTGGACTACATTTAAACCGTTCACTCTTACATGAATATCAGTCATGCCAATCACGTGCAAGTTCTCTCCACCAACTCCTCGTGCCCTCAATTTACATTCCCGTATGTGTCCTTGGACAATATTCTTGTTTACCAGTGACACAGTTGCTCCCGTATCTACGAGACAACGAGACACTGTTTATTGGAATGGCGTTGTCTTCACGGGCTGACCCCAGGCCTAATAGCGGGTCAGCCCTTGGTAGTTTCCCTGGTGTCGTTGTTGTGGGGCTTGATACCGATATTGACAATCACGGGCAAAATGTCCGAGGTCACCACACACAAAGCAGTAATTCTCGTTCCGGCGTTTCCCACGGTCATTTCTTCTACGATCATTTCTTCGCTTGGGTTGTCGACATTCGTTCGCGATATGGTTAAATCCGCCGCAGTTATAACAAGCTCTACCACGACGGGGGTTCTCCGTTCGTATCGCTGCCACTTCGCTGATGTTATTTACCGATGCGGAAAGTTGGTTAACCTTTTCGGTGAGGACCTCAACGCTTTCCTTTAACTGGTGCACCACTGTTGACTCGCTGCTAGATACGTTCTCTCCCTGAACTCTCGTCAGGTTCACATCATGATCAGCATTTGGACTTGACAGCTTGGGTGTCAAATCTAATTGTTGTGCAATCTTGACGGTCTCCTCGTATTTCAGGCTCGGTCTTTGCAATAGCTCCCGTTTTAGCGCAGGAGACAATCCTTCAATAAATTGTTGTTTTAAAAGCGTATCTCTCTCGTCATTCCCGATATTAGGGATCGCTCGGCTGAGCAATGTTTCCAACCCATACGCGAAAACTTGAATGTCCTCTCCAGGCTTGCGCGCACGTCGACGAAACTCCATCATAGCAATATGTTTGCTTGTTTCATCGCCGCCGAACGCTTCCTTTATCGCTGCTATAAGGACTTTGAAATCTTCCTTCTTGTCGTCTCCAAGCCGCTCGAACACTACAAACGCTTTGCCCGATAATTAATAGCGTCGGTAAACGCTTCAACATTTCATCCTCTTTCCAACCATTTGCCGTCGAACACAGCTCGAACTTTCGTAACCACAGTCCAAAATCACCGTCTGAAAATGTTTCAGGAATAGATAACAAATTAGCTCTTGTTGTCGCTGTTGATGTAGTCATCCTGGTCACGGCACCAATGTAATATATCACGACACGCAAGCAGTATAAACAAATCACTTTATTAAATCCTATTCTAGTCCCCTGCACTCAATGCACTATATTCTTGTCCTGTATATTGTCTAGCAATCCCGTTTGTTATTGTCATCCGATATCCTTTCTTGACCCTTGCACGCGACCTTTATTAATAATTAGACACCTTCGTATACTACACTACGTTGAAGATGACGTTCAACTCCATTTGTTAACCCCAAACTCCATGTTATTTGGTCAACCTAACTTAATTCCACAACGAGATCCCAATGCTATTGAAGATCGGGACCTACGCAAACGGGCTAAATACCTGCGCAAGTGTAAGGATGCTCTATGGTCTAGGTGGTCAACTGAGTACATCAAATCCCTGAGAGAACGTCACAACCTGAAACATGACCGTAAAGAAATGGCGCTGAAACCTGGAGATGTCGTAATGATCAAAGGTGAAGAAAAGAACAGAGGTGTATGGAGATTTTGGTATGGTGTCGTAATGATCAAAGGTGAAGAAAAGAACAGAGGTGTATGGAGAATTGGTATCGTGGAGAAACTGATCCAAGGTCGAGATAAAGTTGTACGAGGAGCGCGGTTACGAGCGGGAAAATTATATCTGGAAAGACCTGTCCAACACCTATTCCCGTTGGAATTGTCGTGCGACATGCCATCGAAGTCAAAAGAAAACACCGCCTTGGATGTACATGCTCCTGAATTTCGTCCAAAACGTAAAGCTGCAGAAGCTGCACGAGAACTATTCAAAAACATTGCAGCAGAAGAACTTCAAGACGAGGAGTACTTTTAATGAAAATATTCGAGAGTATTGAGGAACTTATAAACGGAAACTGATAAACTTAGATTCTTATTAACATATTGTTATTGTTGTAATATTTGCAAACTTACGTTCCAAATAGGGGGAGAGTGTCGAGAATTATCGACATTATTTGTAATCGGGAAATCCTCGGAATATTCCGAGTATAGAACGAGAACTAAGCGAGACTGTGTTCAAAAACAAGCACGCGAGAACTGTAACTTTATAGCATGCAATTTAAATATAAAATCATCAAAATCATTGTGTGAAGAGGTTGTGTGAGCTATTCGCAACAATATAGTTAATTAAATACTCCTTCGCTACTAAATTGTAAATTTTGACATACTAAAATGCTGTTTTCTGATCATCAGGATTCTGTCAAATCTTCCCCAAAGTCTAGGAAATGGCATTTCAGAGACTCTAAATTTAAAAATTTCCTACTGTTACCCTAACCCTAAGTAAAAAATGCATGCAGAAACGCCAATATGCTTCAACTTCTTTAATTTTCATCCTGTTTCTTCTAAATTTTCCACGGAACATAGAACATATCATTATTACAAAACGTATGTTTTTTTTCACTCGTCAACGGGGAAACTCTGCTAGGCATGTCCGATTGTGCTCGGCAACTTTTGACAACTTTTTTCGGCTCGAGCAACTACAAGCAACTTTTTCCTTTTTGAGCAACTTTTTACTACACTCTTAGTAGCGAAAAATGGTATGACCACCAGCTTTAGCCTCTTCGGCGCTCTGCAGCTTAATGGGTTAACCAAAAAATCTGACAATGTCTCTAGTTAACCCATTGCGCCCTACTTATTTTTTTACTTGTTTAACGCCAGACGATTTCACTCGTCAACAGGAAACTCTGCAGCTTAATGGGTTAAATAGGCATGCATATTAATTGCTGAAAGCACAAGTAAATGAAAGATCTGATGCCTTTTACAACAAGTTTAAAGAGCTCATTTCTATACAGTACTGTACATTTATTATATTGTCGGTGGTGGTGGTGGGGGACTATTTTTTAGAATTCATGTAAAGGGGTCATTGAATTTCTTGTGATGCAGGGAGTGGGGCAGGACATTTTTGTTTAGTTGTTAATTGAATTTTGCCAGCCCACCCCCGGTCATAAATAATGAATTGTCCATACGATATACTTACAATATGTTGATGACGATGATCGCGAAATACTGTATGTGTATTGGTGATGTATTGTAAATTTACTATGGTTTTATTGTAAATTTACCGTTGTTTTATTAATTAAAAAAAATGTAAATAATTTCTGAAAAATGATGGATCGGTTATCGTCCTTTTCGTCAGGGCCGCGCAGAAAAAATTTGGGCGGCCTGGTCAAATTTAATATTTGGGGCCCTACACAACCTATAGTGATTTTCTATCGCCAAGGATAAGTGCTATCAGTTTTAGAGATTGATTTCCATATTCTAAACTTGAACTTTTAGGACAATTAATTAGCAACCTGACAGTGAACAAAAACAGATAACAGATATATTAAGGTGGCTCCATACACTTTTCATCATCAGGAGACTGGTACCTAATCTTCAGTTTTCGCGCGAAAATATTAAAATATATGCAAAAATAAATACAACTTTTTCAGTCTAAAATCCGAACCACAAGTCATGTTTATTTTGATGTTTTGAGTCTTCCTTGTTCTCATTTGTTCTCAAAAAACAAACTTCGTCCTGATTTAGCCCCAGACATTGAATAACTAGTCTTTTTAGAAGACATTTTAAGGTGAAAAATGCAATGTTCAACGTTTTAATAATAATAATAATAATAATAATAATAATAATTTATTTTCACACAAATTGTTACACTATATTGGTAAAGCCGAAGCCATAGGCTTATTTGGCAAAACTATTTAAGAGTATAGCTCGTGGTCAGTACAGAGAATTAAGTATGAATTATTCCAACTGAGTATATAATAAAAAAAAGAAAAAACCCAACCGGAAAAAGCATTTAAATTAGTATAGATAATTCATGCTTTATGGAAAGCAGTATATGCAGCATATATACAGCCAAATTTCAGTCCTTCTTTTTATCCCAGAGCCATTCCACATGCACATGTCAACCATTCTGAGAAGTTAAGTAGTAGTTCTTTAGAATACGTCTAAAATTTTGAGTTGTCAATGATTGCCGAATTAAAAGAGGGATAGAATTCCAATTTTTCGGGCCTTGCGCACGAATGGAAAAAGAATATTTATGGGAAATGATATGCAAATCCTGTCTATGCCTTGTAAAATGATCATGGATGTTATAATTGAACTCAAATAAGCAAGAAATGGGTGAAGGAAGGAGATTGTTAACGTGTCTAAAAATAAAATACGAAAGTTGAAATTCATAAATCTGAAAGACAGTGAGAATATTTAATTCCTTAAAGAGTGGTTTGGAAGGAGTGAGAGGGGGAGAATGTGTAATAATTCTCATGATTTTTTTTTGACATCGAAGTAAAGGATGAAGATGTGTTGTGTAAGATGATCCCCAGATAATAGTGCAGTACTGTAAATAAGGCAAGATTAAAGAATTGTATAGTACTGAGAGTGTTGATCTATCAAGAGAATGACGAGATTTTGCAATTATTCCAATGCTTTTGGAAATTTTTGTAGTGATTAATTGTATATGTGGGATCCAGGACAAATTTTCCTGGATAGTAATTCCCAGAAATATGGTTTGGCTAACCCTTTCTATTAGATGTCCATTGATTTTTACCTCATCCTGTGGGTCGATGTTTTTTTTCCTGCTGGGATGAAAGAGTATAAACTTGGTTTTATCTGGATGCAACGTAAGTTTATTTGCTCTAAGCCAAGAAGCAACTTTAACAAGTTTATGGTTAAGTGTGTTAATGAGGGACGTTATGTTATTGTCACTATAAAATATATTTGTGGCATCTGCGAATAGTATAAAAGATAGGCAGTTGGATGTATTAAATATATCATTTATAAACACAAGAAAAAGTAATGGTCCAAGAACCGAACCTTGGGGAACTCCGCATTTAATAATTTTAGGTGAAGATTGAACATTGTTAATTTCAACATATTGAGATATTTGACTAAGGTAACTTTTAATCCATGGAAGAGCATTACCACGAAAACCATAAAAAGACATTTTGTCAATTAGGATGTCATGGTTGACAGTATCAAAAGCCTTTTTAAGATCTAGAAACACGCCAACAGTTAGCTTATTATTTTCAAAACCATGATATATTCCGTTTACCAGTTCGAGTATAGCCATGAACGTAGAATGATTTTTTCTAAAGCCATATTGGTGGTGGTTTATAATTTGAAACTTATATAGGAAATCCATGAATCTCTTATACATCACCTTTTCAAGTATTTTTGAGAAACAAGGAAGAATAGAAATCGGTCTAAAGTTGGAAAAATTATGACAATCATTGCTTTTGTAAATAGGCAAAACCTTAGCAATTTTTAGCTGGTTGGGTACACTACCATTGGCCATTGAAGAGTTGAATATGTAACACAATGGTACTGCAAGTATGTGAATACTCGTTTTAATAATAGGCGTTCTAATACCGTCTACCCCTTCACTGTAACTATTTTTCAACGAATTAGTGATAGTTATAATTTCAGAAGGGGAAGTTGGGGTGAGGAATATTGACTCATTAAACGAGCCCAACAAATAATCCCTATGATTATTGTCTGATATGTCTGTAAAATTATTTGAAAGAGAGGTCCCAACATTTATAAAGAAATCGTTAAATTTATTAGCAATTGAATGTGGATTACTGTAAGTTCCACTACCATTTTTCATAGTTGAAGGTATCCTATCCTTTTGTTTACTACCAATAACAGATCTAATAATAGACCATGTTGCTCGTAAATCTGATTTATGGTTCAAAAGTTTATTGTGATAATAACTTTTCCTGGCGAGTTTGACAAGGTAATTGTACTTATTACGATAATTCGTATAAGTTGTCTTATTGGAAATGTCAGGATTTTGAAGGTATTTTTTATATAGGCGATCTTTTTTCATGGAAGAATTATATAAGCCATTAGTAAACCAAGGCTTAGTATTTTTTCTAGTTTGTGTGGTAAAGGTTTTCACTGGGAAACAATCATTATAAATAGGTTGAAGTATATTCATAAATGATGTATATAGTTGGTTAGTAGTCATTGTATCATTATTAATAACATCCCAGTTAACATTTTGCAGTTTACGTTGAAATTGTTCAAGACTGTGAGATGTCACTTGTCTTGTCGTGTATGTTTTTGGCTCAGGTTTAGGTATTATATTTAGATCACTAAGTAGGAATATGGGTAAATGATCTGAAAGGTCGGTATAAATAATGCCACTTATCATATCATGATCTAAGTTATTAGTGATAATGTTATCAATCAAAGTGGATGAGTGATAAGTTATTCTAGTAGGTTTAGATATGGTAGGGTAACAACTATTAAGGAGAAGAATGTCAACAAAATCATTAGTGGGCTTGTGAGAGTTGGAATTAAGTAAATTAATATTAAAGTCACCCATTATGTAACATAATTTATTTTCAAAACTTATTTTATTGAAAATCTGGTTGATATCTTCATTGAATTGGTTAATATCAGCATCAGGTGGTTTATATATACATCCTACTATAATGTTTTTGCTATGAGGTTGGGCTAATTCAGCAAATATAGATTCATATGTAGAGTGAGAGAATTCCAAGTCAGATCGAAGTTTAAAATCAAAAGAGGAGTTGATGTATAGACCAACCCCACCTCCATGCTTAACATTTCTGTGTTTAGATATAAAGTTATAGTTTGGTATAGGATATAAGTCATAAGATAAATTGTCAAGCCATGTCTCTGATAGTCCAATGACAGATATGGAACAATCAAGAGAGGACATGAAAACCATGAAATCACTAAAATTTTTCTTAAGGCTTCTTATATTAATATGCATTGTCGAGAAGTAGTCATGGGGTTTTGTTAGATTAGCATTGAATTCCACTGTTGTATAGTATATACATTTAGAAAGTGTTTCAGAATTAGATGCAAAAATACTGGAGTTTAGGTCTAAGTCAGGTTTGTTAAGCAAAGAACATGTTTCGGGGTCATTGATAAAAGGATTGAAGCTCATATTATTAAGGTTATTGAGATCGAGACGTGATTGGAGGGAATAATCAATTGCATAAAGAAAATCATCATTGTCATGGTAATGATTAAATGGAAATATCTCAGTTAAGCAAGATGCACAATACCATGGGTTATTATCATTTGAAATAGTTTTATAATCATTAGGGCTAAAATTTGTGCATTTAAGATGTATCCAGTGGCCACATATGTCACAAAGAATGGCTCGAGAGTAACTGTGAATCCTACATTTACAGACAGAACAGGGGGACATAACAGAATAAAGAAAAGTAAAATATATATATATATATATATATATATATATATATATATATATATATATACTACTTGTGCACCACTCTAAAGCTTAAATATATAAGTTCAAATACATAAATTTAATAACACAAATTAGGTATGATGGTTTGCTATGAGACCAATAGACGACTTCACATCACCAGAAATCAATGTGTAGTCGACTACAATCCATGTTATTATATTAACATGCAATATACAGATCATAGAAGTCTGTAAGAGATTATATGTCATAAGGTAGGAAAAAAAAGTCAATACTTATCTAATTGATTAATACAGCTTGATAGGGTTGTAGACTTTAAGATTACAGAGGTGTTTGTTTTTGGCCGGAAGTGAATTATTCCATCAATTGTCCATACTTTCTCAACTTTGTCGTTGCAGTTATCATGTAAATATTTCAAAAGTTGTCTTCTTGTCTGTGTAAGGTCTTCTTGAATCCTGTATAGAGACCGACCATTCCGTTTTAGTAAGTGTCGTTTCCTCAATATCATGACTTTGGTATTATGCTTAGTAAATCGAATGATGATAGGACGTGCTATGTTGGACTTTTTTCCAACTCGGTGTGATCTACTTATGTCAACTTCTGAAATAGTGACACCCAATTCCTTTTGGAGAAAAGATATGACAATGTCATCGGTTGACTCAGTTGGGGCTTCAGGTATCCCATAAATTCTGATATTACACTTTCTTGTGTACTGTTCCAAATTATCGTTTTCATTTTTTAGCATGTTCACTTCGTTTTTGAGCTCCATCAATCCCGTCTTTAATTCAGTATTTATGGATTTGATTTCATCATGTAGTTGCTGCGAGTCAAAATCGATGCTTTCACCGAGGGATTTTTTTAATTCTGTTGATGACACATATTCGTCAATATGCTTTTTAACAGCTTCCCCTGCTATAGACTTGATGACTTCTGATACAATCGTAGGTAGAGTTGTTGTAACCCAATCATTCAGCTTAAGCTCAAATTTCTCCCATATGTTGTTTAGGTTATCGCCTTCCTCAGTCGCGTTCTTGTTCGAATTTTTTGATGTCCTTGACATTTTGGCAAGTGTATAACTCAAATGTGATCGGTTTTGTTATTCAAGATATAGTTAACACAAAAATATATTTAATAAAGTACATAAACATACTCAATTTGTGCTAAAATATATAAATATTTCACAGAGAACATTTTTTCATGACCGCCATGCAGGCTCGTGGAAATGTACCCGGTATATATTTGTATCTTTTCACGATCTGTTACACTTATTTTAAATTATGAAATTAGATTATGATAATTACGATAATACACCAAAACAACTACAATAAAAATAATTATAATATAGTCATCCACCATATATGAGCTATTCTGCAATCTGATTGGTTGAGATACTCGCAGTATATCACCTCATATACGATGGGTAGCAAAAACAAAATGGTGGAAAAAACCAAACTAAAGAGTTTTGCGAACCGGAAAACAGCGAAATATTCGCTTTAGAAGCGACAAAAACGGACAGTAAGGATTCAAAAATCATTGACATGGTAGGAAATACATTTATTAAACTGGAAGTTTCTGCAAATTATTGATAGCAAAAACATGTTTACGAAAAATATTTTTCGAAAAGCCACACAGCTGAAAAAACATGTTTTGCAGTCTGTAAGTACTTTATACTTTACTCAGACATAAGGGGTGTCTGTTCTATTTTAAAAACGTATCATATACGGTGGATGTCTATATTATAAAACAATTATACCATTCGCTCTCGTCGTATATGAACTGATAGCAGACTCGGTTGCGCCTCGTCGGCTATCAGCTCATATACGACTCGATTGAGCTCAACGCATAATTGTTAATTATAGTTAATGTGTGATAAAAAAATAACAGAAAAAAATCCAAGCACATTGTCTCTAATTTCGTGAAGTATATGTAAACAAGTATATGTATCGGAACTGGGTCCGACTTTAGCTTTAAAGTCAGATGTACTGACAGTACTGTACAGTACTGTACTGTACTGTACTGTACCGACAGTACCTTACTGACAGTACGTTTCTTCCTTTTGTTTAATAGAGGGAGAGTCTGCCATCACCCTGGCTGATGTACTAATATTCGCAACAGGAGCAAGTCAGCCACCGCCATTGGGCTTTGACTCAACACCCGTACTAGAATTTACAGCTGGCAAATTTCCCACGGCAAATACCTGTGGCGTGACATTGTATATACCATTATTGTACGGGGAATACGAAGAGTTTAAAGACGCGATGGAATTCGCAATACAAAATTCGCCATCTTTTGGTCATGCTTGAATGACTGTGCAACATTGCTACTTTTTTCACATAACCGTTTTAGTTAATAAAGTTCTAAGTTTTATATACACGCGTAAAAATCATCATGTTGATGAAGTTGTTCAAAACAGGAGCGAACAATGTTGTGCTGCACCCCGTGAACAATATTGTTAACAAGTTGTTGAACCATCAACATTGTTGCAACTTGTTGACAATCATGTTAACAACTTGCAACAGCACTGATGGTTGAACAACTTGTTAACAATATTGTTCACGGGGTGCAGCACAACATTGTTCGCTACTGTTTGAACAACGCCGAACAACCTGATCAATTTTTACCCGTGTATAATGTAATGTTTCATTTGGTTTGTAAAAAGCACAAATTTCTATTTGGATATAATTATATATTCTAATTATATCATCAAGTTTCTTCCGACGAACTGAACAACACGGCGATAAATTTCTTTTCCGTCATCCCCAGATAATGGATCAATATTATTATGAAGGACACGTAATGCACTGTCCGACATGGGATTTTCAACATCCGGAACTTGAACATGCGGGATATCTGCAGAAAGCAGATCACGTACATCGACCCCACGCATTGGTACGTTTATAGTTCGGTTTCCCGAATGGAGAGAAGCCAAACGTATGTTAATCCAGAACAATTGGGCTGGGGTCTTTTGCCCTTCCGTTGAAACACGGTGATTGTTATGTGCAGCAACAAACTCAACAAGGGTCCTCTGGATACGCGGCAAATATGTGTAATGAAGACAAAATATGTCAGTGCTGTTGAGGGGGTCCAGAATACCTTCCCTTTCTAGCTCGTAGAAATCGGCTTTGTAGATGGACACTACCTGCTCATTGACTGCCCTGTTATGACGTTCGATCCGTTGATTGTGCACAGAGCTTCCAACAATTACTGATCGAGCATCCTCGCCCCAAAATTCGGTCATGTCCCTCCAAATAAGGACATTCTCTCCACCATAATCTGTGTGGACGTGAATTGGTTTCCCATACTTTTCCACCGCTTCTTGAAAAAGTGGGAAAACTGTTGTTGATTTATTGTTTCCAGAACAACGGCAAAATGTGATCAGGCGACTAAATCCATCTATTCCATGGTGTATGACCAAACTCCATCGAATCATCTTATGGTTTCCGTCTATATGCCCCAAGTAGTTAGGGCAGGGAACAGAATAAACACGTCGGTTTATTGGTGGCCGCTTTCTCTCAGAAACAGTGGGATCAATGTGGTGTATTGCATTCCTAACCTGTTGACGCTGGACATGAATACCTTTCGCTTCTAAATGGCCCTGAACCATTACCTCTCCAGCATTAGGGTGGTTGACTTTAATCTCACCAACTGCTCGTAGCAATTCATCTTGGTTTAAACCAGTGTGCCTAGTATAATTGATACCATATGTTGCAATAGCTTTGTGGATTAAAGGTCTTGAAAGTTGCAACTCTTGGCAGATTTTTGAGATTGGAATCTTCAGTTTCAACATGGTTTCCAGTAAGCTTGGGCGGTTTTGGTTAAAATTAAAACCGGTAAACCGTACGCTAAAAAACCGGTTAAACCGAAAAACCGGTTTTTTAACTTTAAAAAATTAACGCGATTCCAATATTGAATAACGCGCAATAACCGCTATCCTATAGCGGGCAAACAACGTGAAATCGATGTTAAATGGTTTGAGAACGTCATTTCGATGCCTGAAACCTTGAAACAACGTCAATTTCATGTTGTGTGCGCGCTGGGAAATAGGTACAAATGAAAACATAATTTCAACGCTCAACAATTGCACAAATTACACGTGTCTTTAGCGGTAAGGTTCGATAATTGTAATTTTATCAACCTTGTTTCCCACGCTCTTGTGCCTTCGCAGGATGATGATCGTGGAGATGGCGTTGAAGGTTGGAAGTATTTCCTCCAGCAGCAGAAACCTTTTTGAGGCAAAGCTTGCACGTCGGCTTGGCGTTGTCGTCTTCATCGGTTTTAAACACGAAATATATATATATTGACAAATTGGGGATGTAAACGACTTTTTCGAACGTAAATCGGCAGCGCTAACATTTTGTGTAGCCATGTTTGCGCTGATAATTGGCGAAGTAAAGACTTTACCGCGCGCGTGGAAAAAAATGTCATCACAACAGTCATATATGTCAGCATTGCTTAACAATTAACAATTATATAG